CATTTCAGACTATTTTCCCAATAGAAAATAGTCCCTCATCAGTTGGTATTAGTTAAAGGTAATGCTATAATAGAATTATACAAGGTAACGGTCAACTTAAAAACTAAGCCTAAAGTTATCTATATATATAAAAATGAATGTATGTCTGTGTGTCTGTCTTATGCCCTTCATGCATTACCACACCGTTTATCCGATTGCCATGAAACTTTGGGAAGTTGTTTAATATACTCTTGCGCAGGTTTGTGGCATAGTACGATTGCCATAAAACTTAGGAAAGTTTTTTAATACACTCCCGTGAAGGTTTCTTGCATAGTACATTTAACCCACGATAGATGGCGCGCGTTTATACGAGTGTATCGAGACAGTGTGTTCGATTGATTTCAAATTGTGAAGACCATTTCCCCCTATTTCAAAAAATATCTCTATATATGCATTTGTGAACTGTTATTTACGATATTTGTAATAATTTTTGTTTAATCACTTTATTTTAACTTTTTTTGCTAATTATGTATTCGCTCGAACTTTGTTAAAACCTTAACTGTATCCCGAACAACAACCGAAGTTGTAGGAGGAAATTCGCCTATTTTACCGATCTAGGGATCCCCCTTTTCCAAATTTTAATATCAACTCAAAATAATTTAAAAAGACAAATTACAATAAAACGGTTTATTATCCAACTATCAGAAATTTCACAACACGCCAAGGAAGTGAGGAAGGAGCAATTAAATAATTAAAATTATAAAGGATTAAAATATATATATATATATAAATGGGGAATATCGCGCTTCTGACAATCGCTGCAAGTGTACGGGCAAAATTTGGAGAATCTGTGCTTCTCGCATGGACAACTGTATGTGGCTGGCTCACGCGTCAGAAAACCTTCTGATTTATTCGTGTACGCACCAGACGGAAAAACAAAAAATATCGTGTATCCACAAACACCCCAATAAATAAATAGAATTGAAACGACACTTTGAAATGTTTTCCCGATGAAAATAAATAATAATAATAAGTTTCAATAAAAATGATAAAATGTAAATTGAATTTTATCATAACAAGTTTGCTTGAATTTCGTTTCTTCTGAGATCGCAGCAATGCACGATGGGTAAGCTAGTACAATATAAAAATTGAAGACACCACTGTAACAGTATGAGTAGTAAGCATCATCAGTAGGTATTATCTAAAACCCTCCCCTTAAATTTCCATATTCTCACAGATGTATATTTGCAAGATATTTAATCAAATCCTTTTTCATTTCTGAAATGAAATCATTGACCCAAGAAAATTCTGTCCTAATTGCTTTGCATACCCTTTTAAGACAATAGGTAAAATAAGGGACATGTCACCGATTTGGATTACCAACTTTTATATTTGAGCATGCATTTAACATGTATGCCTGATCTGTTACAAGTAATCAAACTTTTTCATATGGGTTGGCAGTTTCACAATTTGGCACAAACATCATTGAAAGTCTGCATAACAGCTGTGGAATTTGTTTTGAAAGTTGAAGTAAAAAAACTTTATCAGATTGGAAAATTTATTTTATTAAATTACTTTCTTATACTTACCTGCTCTCATCTGTTTATTTTTATCTGTCTAAATTTGTCTAAATTCTAAATATCTGTCTAAATCTGTCTAAATTTATATCACATTTACTTATTAAATTATTTTGGAGTTTCATTTGAATCCAATTAATAGAAATCCAAAAAAAATTATAAAAAGCTAAATATTTATAGCTGCCCACAGAAGAAAGGGGGCACCTATATAAATATTTTAAAATGTAATGTTATTGATAGGTATCCACTAGGGTTCCTCTTTCCAAAGCTGTTTTCTAATAAGTTCAGTTGTGTCTCAGTGACAAATTAAGAATCACAATGCACTGTTTCTCCAATACAAGTATTTATTATTCTATTTGTTGTTATAACAAATTGAATAATAAATACTTGTGGTTCCAGGAACAAATTAAGAATCAATACATCTGGACTTATTAGAAAATGGCTTTGGAAAGAGGAATCGTAGTGGATACCTATTGATAACATTGTTTTAAAATGAGTCCAATTGAGTTCCAGTTCTGATTCAAATGAATCTGAACTGGAACTCAATTGGACTCATTTTAAACCTTACTTGATTAGAATACTTGATTAGTTTGTGATGAAATAGCAATATGTCTTATTAGAATTGAAGCTATTGACAGAAAAAGATTTGATCTTGCGATTATATCTTATTAGTACCATAATTCTATTCTATGCCATGGTATGCTACATATGTTCAACTAAAATATATTTTAGATAAATGTTTACAGCATTTAATATTCAGTTAAACTATGCTTAATTTGCTTAGAAAAAGTTTCGTGATTTTAATAGTTAATCAAAATTATATAACATCGAAGATACAATAAAACCTTGCTATTCAGAATTTATGATACTTCAGGCTAATATTTTATATTATGTCTTTGTATTTTTCTTTTTTATTAACAATGAATTTGTTAATTCTAATTTGAGTTTCAACAACTATTACCTTACTTGTAGAGAAATGTGTCAAGATGTGATTAAGAATCAGAAAAGGAATTGTAAACAAAAATACAAAAATTATCTTCTTTTTTAAGCCCAAATTAGTAAATGTTAGCAATGACAAGAATGATGTTGCTACTCGACTACTAATACTGGTACTTTTGCATTGTAAAAGTTTAAATGAGCAAATATAGTGGTTTGATAAAGTGAAAAATAAAGTTTTGACTTGGTGTACTTCTTGGACCGTACAATATTTGAGTAAAATCTAGCTAATTTAAACTTTCACTAATTCAGACTAGGCTTTTCCCCAATTAGTCTAAATTAGTGAGGTTCTACTGTATTTTTATTTAGAACATTTAATTAAAAATAAAAATGAATGTCATAAAATACTTTCAAAATAGGTAGTACAGCAAATATAAATCAATACTTTGTACTATGAAGTATTGATTTTACTGAAAGCATTGTCAAAGTATACAGTTTTTATTTGGAACAGAGCCAACTTTAAACTTTTTATTGTAACCATTATAACAACAGATTAAAACAGCTTTTAAAAATTATTAAATATGTTATAGTAGAAAGCTTTTATATAAATTTGGAATTATCAAACCTTATAATTTTATTACAAATCTCATCTATTAATATGTTAACTTTAATTAATAAACCTGATTAAAGTATTAGCTAAAAAGAAACCAAAACTGTCAGATTTTTACTGGCCTGTTAATTATAGAAACTTGATCTGATATATTTTTAACTAGCCACAGAAAAAGTTTCCATATCATTAAAATCATTTAAATTAAGAATATCTATAAAAAAAAAAAAGTCAATTTAAAACTTTTTCCTATATAAAATTCTGCAAATTTCATGGATACATTATACTCTGAGTACTTAAGTTTTGGATTTGTGTATTTGCATTATATTTAGATATGCAGGAAATCCTCATTACTTTGAAATTCAAGGGGCAAAATAATCACAATTTCAAATTATCTGAGATTACAAATTTCTGTACATTATTCCAAATGCCATGCAACTGATGTAATTTATTAAGCAAACAGAATATGGCTATATACCATATTTACTTGCATATAAGATGAGGTTATTATTCATTTTTCATTGTTTCAAAAACCTAGGTTGTCCTATATGTGCAAGTGAAGGATTCGTTGTGTTTTCGCAATAATTTTTGTGAACTGTGTGTTTGCATTTTTTACCATATGATCACTCTCCGGTGTTTAAAAACAAAAGTATTTTATCTGGGTCATTTCAATCATTCTTGTGTATTGTCAGGAGTAAAGATGAATAGCAATAGGAAAAGCAAAACTTTTGAATTGAATTCCAATTTGAAATTCCAAAATTACATGGGAGCCTGATATTAGTTTTAATCCATTTCCATGTGAAAACAGATGATTATTCGGAAATCAGAATTCGGAGAAACTGATAAGTGTAATTGATGGAGAATGGATTAGACTGTTAAGAATTGGCAAAAAAAATTCCCAATTGTTCAGCTTCACACAAACAAAAATTATGTTGTCGATTTTACAATATTTTTCCTTAAAGTTTAAAATGCTAGTAATTTTTGCAGGACAATGTGTGCATTTACATTCATTTGATATTTTACTTGTGATTAAACAAAATAAAATTATAATTGTATTAATAGATTTAATTTTCTTTATTTTGATCCTTAAAGTCACACCTCGTCCTATATGCGAGTAAATACAGTATACAGAAATGCTATTTTTGTTAATTAATAATAATAATATAAACTTATAAATAAACTGCATGTAAACAACACATGTCCATGAGAAACTCACAACTTGCCAGATAGGTTTTGTAAAAAGTAAATCAGAATTCCTTGAAATGTATCCCAAATTATTTTTAAAGTAGCCCAAAAATTAGTAAGTTGCCCAAATGTAGTAGTCTAGAGCCATACAAATATCTCTCTGCTATTTGTAGCCCAAACTTGCAATCACAAAATCCGTATATATTTTATGAAATAAGAAAAAAAATTGTCCATGAATAAGGTGACACCTGAAAATGTGTTACTGTAAAAGCAAAGCCATATTGACCAAATTAGAGTTGTTCTTGGTCTATTGTTCTCTTATAGCATGGAGGCACTTCTATCAAACTGACTGTTTGTTCAAATTTTGAAATAGCCGTATTTTGAGCTAACTGAATTCCTTAATGTGTAAATCTCTATATCCAAATAATACAGTTACAAACTAATGGAATTTCAAACTATCCGAGTTTGGATTAATGAGTATTTCTTGTAATGCAAATCTTTATATTTTTCACTAACGGTTCTTTGATTCACTTTCAATTTCTGCATCAATTAATAATTAATTAATTAACTGAAATCAAACATATTTGAGTCTAGTATCCTAATAATAATATTTAAAGAAATGATAATCAATTTTGTTCAATATAATAAAAATAATAATTACACAGGATTACTATTATTACAATTTATTTATTTACTCTTATTTTTTTTCATTTCAGTTGATAGTGTGAAACAGATGGAGTCTAGCTGTTGCTAATCTACAGAAATAATGATTCAGTAGTGAACAAAGTAAAATCTTAATTCAATGGGATAAATTGAAAATGATTGCTATAATAATATTATATTTTTTGGTTCTGACTCTTGTTAGAGCAATTCCATTTGATCAAGCAATTGATATCAGTAAGTTTTTAAAAATATTTTACATAAAATTTTAAATATATGTACTGTATATACTAGCATATAACACAACTAGAAAACAAACAAAAAAAAATCATCATCTCAAAATCAGGAGTCATCTTATATGCCAGATACTAAAATGGGAATCTTAGTTTCTTGATTGAATATTTAGTTAAAATATATTACTACATAAGAGAGATGCCACTTTTATTTGAAAAGAAAATTGCTTAATACTCTGTAAACATATTTAATGCTTTTTACATATTTTAAAATAAATTAACAAGTTTTTAACAATTATTGTATTTAACTAGATACCTAATCTTCTTTGCTGTTTGAGGCAAGGAGTTTGTCAAGATAAATCCAAAATTTTTTGTATGTGTCACTTACAGCTGTAGTATTACAATTAATTAATATATTATTATATAAGTTAAATGTGTAAATATAGGCTGAAATTTGTATCCTGTCTTTATATACTGATTTATTACCAATGAGTCAGTTCTTTACTCACTGTTAAATTATGCCAAATTGTGTATCTTGCACTCTTGTTCTCATGTTTTTTCTGAATGCTGTTTTTCATCTATAGAATTCTATTATCCTTATATGCTAGTATATACGATATAAAATAATCAAAATATATTATTTTGATAATTAATTGACTTTTGGGCCATCCTATATATCATATATAGTCACATTCTGTTAACTTGGTATTGTTGGGACCAATGTGGTGCTGGGTTATTGAATATGCCAACTTATCAGACAATGGAATTTTTTCTAGAGTTTTTCCTATTCCCTAGACACAATTTTCCATATTTTCTCATATAAAACTGTACAAATTCACCTTCTATGATTGTTTAACACGTCATTTCAATTTTTCCAGATTATTCCTACCCTTGGTTAGTTTGAAACAAGAACACTCTAACTAGAATCTTACTTTGTGCTTTGTACACTTTTATTTATATCTACTCTATATTTTATATCTATATCTATATTTCATATATTTTGCATATTAAAAGCAAAATGTTCGTCACCACCAAAACCAACACTAAAAAGAAGTGCTATAAATAGAGACTGGACTCTGCCTGGATGGAATATAACCAATAAATCAATCAAGACAGACAACAAGTACTTTATCCATAATTTCTGAAATATTATGTTTTAGTTGATTTGATTGTTTTAGTTGATTTGATCAAATCAACTTTATTTTTATTTTATTTTATTTTATTTTAAATTTTGGTTTTGGTTTCTGTTTCAGTATAAAGGCCAGAGTTTTAAATTTTTAAACTTTTAATTTAAATTCAATATTTTTAAATGTAATTATTATTTTTAGTTTTAATTAACTAGCTATCTAGTTATGTATAAATACAGATGAATACCCAATGCACCAATACTCTGTCCAATGACTAGCTGGACATGCCAGCTTATCTGGTTTGCTGGCATACCGGATGCCATGTTAACAGAGCTGTAATAAGATTTTTATATGTTTTAAAATAATTTTATGAATTATATTAATTATTTTTATAAAATGTTAATAGTTGTAAACATAAGTTTTTTAATTTTGAAAGCAATCCTTCATTAATGTTTGTAAATTATTAAGTATTTTAATTAATAATTTTTATATTTCAGCTTGTGATGGCGTTGAATTTAAAGAAAATGATTACATTGAGAAATTTGAAAAATACATGAATTGTACTGTAATTGAAGGAAATTTGGAGATATTTCCTTTTGAAAATAATATAATGTCAGATTATAATATGAGTTTTCCTAATTTGAGAGAAATTACTGGATATCTTTTGTTATATAGAATATCTGGTTTGAGGTCATTAGAACAACTCTTTCCAAATTTATCAGTTATTCGAGGAAATACCTTGTTTCTTGGATATGCACTTACTGTTTACGAAATGATGGATCTTCAAGAAATAGGATTAAGAAATTTAACAAAAATTGTTCATGGAAATATTCGTATAGAAAAAAATCCTCGTTTATGTTTTGTAGATACAATTGACTGGAATTATATTACTATGATGGAAAAGACTCGAAATGTAATAAGAGAAAATAGATTAAGTGCCTTTTGCCCAAATTGTCCAAAACATTGTCCTAAAATTCTTAGAAATGGAAATACCGAATCTTTATGTTGGAATCTAAATTATTGCCAAAAAGGTAAGAATAGAAATAATTTTATTTTAGCATGTCATTACCTTTTCAATCCTTTTAGTATTGACAATAAACATGTAAATATTTATCATTTTATTTTTGAAGTTTTAGTTTAAATATCAATATATTAAAATAAATAGTATATCATACTATTTCATTTTTATGTTTTAAATAAAAATTGATATTTGAAATTTAAGAGTGTGTAATTATTAAAATAGTCAAATCTTATTGTTTAATTATTGGTTTAAGTCCACATTAATGCAAAATATTTTCAGGACTGTAAATATTATGCATTAATGTGGATTTAATATTTAAATGTTTTGAACTAATGAATGAGACTAGGCAGTTCAATGTTAACAAGTTCGGTTAATACATAATGTAAACTTTGTTGTGGTTCCTTAAATTCAGTGTCGGATTAACCAATTGACAAATAAGACAAATGTTTAAGGCTCATAATTCGGAGGGACCCTGCTCCAGTACAGAATCTTTTTGTTTTAAAATGCATTAAAAATTATTTAAGAAATTTAATAGGACAGGAATTATTTTGATTTATTTTGCTACAAATAAAATATAGTATATTATACTGAAGATTTGCTTGTTTTTATGTTAAAATAATACTAATTTGATACTGTATAAATTAGCAAATTTGTTAAATTTGATTTTTAAATTTTTATAATTTAAAAGAAATAAAAGAAAAATTGTATATTACAGTTTGTAATAAGAGTTGTGAAAATAGTGGTTGCACTGCAAGTGGAGAATGCTGTCATGCAAAATGTTTGGGTGGATGTACAGGATTAGAATCTAATGATTGTAACTCATGTAGAAATGTCACTTTTAATAAATTTTGTTTTGATAAATGCCCTCATTTTACATTTGAGGTAAGAAATGATTTTTAATTTAAATATTATATAATTATGATAATATTTAATTATTTATAATTTATAGTCAATCATAACTATTATATAACTGTTTTTTTAATGTTAGAAATGATTAATAATAAAGAGATTATCCAAAGTAAAACATTCTCTAATAATAGTTATATGTTATAGATTTTGTAACATTATTCCCAGTAATTTTTTATACACTAAAAAAAACATTAAGAAATATAGTTAAAATTTCTTTCCAGTTATATTGAAAAATATTTGTTATAATTTTTTTTATAAAATATTAATTATAGATTTAAAAATGAACTACAACATCTAAAACAAAGTTGCACAGTTGCAGGTCAGCACAAATTAAAGAGTGACTTCTTGCCATTATCAGATTCTATGATATAAATCTCACTTTCAATTTTCTTTTGTCTAAATCCTCATACAAAATGAGCAAAATACTCTTACTCATTTACCATGCAGTTCTGCCAGCATATAATCATTTTTAGCATTTAAACTGTAATGTTAAATAACAGTTTCTTCAAAACCTAGGGAATCAACTAATACTTTCAATTGTGAGAGGTAGAAAGATGATCCAATATAGTATCATTTTCAACTTTCTTCCATTGATAAATGCCTATATCATGATACAATGCATTTGATAGTGCTATATTGTCATATAATTGCTTTGAATGCTGTTATTTTTAGTGACACTTTTTTTAGCTTGAGACAAAACTTAATATTCACTCTTTTTGTTAATTTATTGTCATGATAAAGCTATTTATAAAAGTGCGTAGTAGTAGTAGTAGTAGTAGTAGTAGTAGTAGAAAAACATTCATATTTGCACAGAAATAAATTTGTAAAACTTGCACAGAAGGAAATGAATCTACTGTAATTTACACCCATAAATACAAAACAAATTGATATTTGATAGTATTTGTTTAAAAAATTATTCAGAATTTGATATCAATGAAAATAAAATATAAATCCTACCATTAAATAACTTTTTATCATTATCAGTTTTTATTATAATATAATAAATTTTCATAAGCTTAATTTACTTTAATAACTTATTCAAATTAATGTTTTATTTACAATTTAATATTATTATTGTTTTAATAAGAACTCACTGTTTTAATAATGGATTATTTATCAATGAATACTAATAAATAAACTAAAACATTCTTCCTCCTCCTTTCAAATGATGATTATTATTTCTGCAGCTGATGATAATGGTGAAATGTATGTCTGAATAATATATGAACTCTTATAATAAACTTTTAATATATATTTTTATATTTTATCATATTTCTTTAATGTAAAAATTTTCTCTGTAAAACTGGAACTTTTTAAAAATTGAAAAAATAATGATAATTGATGCATTTTGTATAAAGTGAAGAAATAATGAAATTAATTAAATTACACTAAATACCTATTAATTATTCTAATAATTTTATTGTTTGTAATTTATATGCTGTATAATGTATTGAATTTTAGAAATTATCATCAGGTGTGCAGAATATGACTGTGTGGATACGGTTTGGAAAATTTGAATAACGCTTTGCTAAGCCTGTGGACATTAACAGGAAATTGGCCAAAATGCAGGGAGCCTATGCTTTGAAATTGAAATTATAACATTGTTTATTTTGTTTCTGATCAATTCAGTCACATGTTACATTGCTATTACATGTTACATGGTCATAGGCATGCAGTAAGGATGAGTCAGACTTGCTCACTGAACCATGGTTTCTATTTTTATGAAAAACGAAACTGAAACAGAGCTTTAAAAAGAATTGAAAATCTGTTTTATTTTGAAACTCTTTTTGACATGGTTTGGTGAGTAAAATTTAAATTAATGTTAAATTAAATTAATGCCAGCTTGAACTAAAATGAAATATTAAAATGAATCTGCAGGAAAATTTGTAAATTAATAAACTGCATTTTAAAACTTTTTTTAATTTTCTTGATTAAATAGCTAAATAGAAGGTTTATAATTATTTTATAAACATATTTTCCTTTATTTTTCATATTTTGTCATAGATATATGTGATGTTAATATTTTTTATTTTATAATAAATTTTAAAACATTATAAAAAATACAGTTGCATTTTCAAAAAATAATAACAATAATATTTAATCAAGACAATTCAAAAAAGTTTGAAATGCAATTTATAATAATAATGAAAAAGTCTGTTTCTTGCAAAAAAAAAAATTGATGCATTTTTAAAGAAATTTTGCATTTTTGGATGTTAAAAAGTCCATTAACTCACTCCCCATGTTAATAATAGATTATCCATTGACTTCAGTTTTACTTTTATTAATCAACATATTACATAAGTCTATAAATTAATTGTATATGCTATCCTACAATGATATGTGCTTAAATTAAAGCATTATATTAATTTATCTGCTTAGTATTGCATGGCAAATTATACAGTATGCCAATTTATTTGTATGATTTACTGTAATTTGAATTCTTCAAATTTTGTAGTAGTAATTATTAATTTTTTCATAAAATATTTTGTGTGCTAGTGTGCAATAATTTTGAAGGAAATTTTTAGTACTTTTGATTATTACATGTAAAAATTTGTGTCTTTAAAATGGATCCTTGTATTGATGAAATTAAATGTACTTACAATGGTATGGGTATTGAAATATTTAATTTCCCAGGTCTTGTTATCTGAGTATACTATTGTTTTAGTATTATATATTTTTCTGGTGATAGTTCTGTTTGGTATAGTGAATTCTGAGAAAAGATATTTTGAATATCTCATTTTTCTAAGTGTTGTTTTTTAAGATTTTATTGTGTCTTAAAAGTATTTATTACCAAGTTGATAAATAATTTGTATATAATATTAGCTGCATGTGCCTGGCATTGTTTGGGTTTTTGAGGGGGTGGGGATTTGGTTAGCTTGAAGTGGGAGAGGGTGATTTAAAAACAATAACATTTACATTTATGACCCAACTATTTACAATAGTAAAATTGTAAAACACAAAAAATTGGGATAAGTTAAGAGGAGTGGGCTTTAGTGGACCCCACCATTGTATTTTTTCTAGGGTATCAAGGAATATTCATGGCAAATTTGGTTCTGATACATTGAATGGTATAGAAGCCTTTACCTACATATATACAAACATACATATTTTGACTTTATATATATGTATAAATAGACCTAACTATACTGTTATTGAGTTTTAAGTAACCATGAACATGACACAAAATGCTTTGAAAAATCTTCCATACATATGCAATATGTAGTGCCATCTAGCACAGTAATGTTGTTTCAACTTCTTGTATGTTTTTTCCAATTTCTCACTGATTACATTTAATGTTAGTTCTCCAAACATAATACTATACTTCAATAGTACAACTTTCTTATGGATAATTGCTTGTGGCATCTGCTGATTCATGTGTGTCCCCATCTAGCAAATGGAGACAAACAGACAGATGGAAATCGCTTGCAGTTTAATTTATATAATGTAGATTTGAGATCATGTGTGTGTAAACCTGTCTCTTGAATTGCCAAATTCAAAATATGAAGTTTTTTTTAAAATATGTTCAAGCATTTTTACGTGATGTGGCAACAAACCCAAACAGGACTGGTCTTTACAGTTTTATTTATATAAATAAATTCTTGAAAACTTTTTTAAATAATAATAATTTAATTTACAGTATTTATCATGGAGATGTATAACGGAAACAGAATGCAGAAAGATCAAAACTTTAGGGAATGAAAAAATATATTGGAAAGCAGTTGATAAAAAATGTCTTCCTAATTGTCCTTCTGGATATTCAGAACATCATTCAGATAATCATTCTTGTATAGAATGTAAAGAAAATTGTCGTAAAGGTAGGTAAGGAAACATATGAGAGGAATTCAAAAACAATTATTTCAGTTTTAAGTTGACTTATAAAGGAAACAGTATATCCACAAATGCTTAAATGAAATCAAAAATAATTAAATAAGTAATATAAAAAACCATTCAAAAGTCCAGCATAATTCTTTAATAACATAAGAATGTTTTCAAACGCATTAAGCGTCCATCTTCAGTTATTTCTCTAAAATCGAATGCAGAATTCGAAAAATTACGCAAGCAAAATTTCAAATAAATGGTTATACAAATATTAAAAAGTGACATGTTATTAATAAAAGCGCTACACATAAAAAAAAATTTTGGTATGCTTAAAATAATAAATAAATAAATAAATAATTTGTCAAGAGTCATCTTAAGCTTAATTAAGCCTTTATATAGAACTAAGCTACTTTGTCACAAAAGGATTTCCAAGTGGACGACAGCCCGTCAGCATCCCTATAGTTAATGCATTGCGTGCTCTTCTGTGCCCTGTGGATTTTCAGTTTTTCCAGATACTTTACTGCGTGTTTAGATCTAGTGGCCTTTATGATAGAGGCCTGGTCCCAGAAACCTGTGATGCCTTGTTCTTTGGCATAAGTGGCAAGAACAGTACTGTCAATGGTTTTGTTCACCGATAGCTTATGCTCATTGATTCTTTTCTTCAAATTTCTTAATGTTGCCCCTATATACACTAAGTTAGAGTTGAACCTATGATCTCTTAGCGGTATTGAGTATATTCCTGTTAATTAAGGAATATACTGTTCATAACTTCAAAGTAATGTTCATAACTTTCCTTGTCATTCCTTAATAACATGTATATAGTGGGATTACGTCGATAAATTATTTGTAAGTTCCTATTTTTGGAAATCCTCTTAACAAATGGTTTAAGGAAGGGTATGTAACTGAGGACCACTTTTTCTTTTTGGCAGTTTTCCCTTTTGCTTACATGTAAGATTATTATCTTTCTTAATGAGAGCTTCTATTCTTTTTCTTCTGTAGCCATGCTGTAAGGCATTTCTTTGGATATACTCTAATTCCTTAACAGTGTCGCAAACGTCTGTGCAATGGGTGTGTGCCCTCCTTATCCAAGAGCAAAACACTGTCATTTTGATATGCTCTGGATCCACCGTATTCTTAGGGATAATGATGGGGAGCAATGTCAGTTTACGATATATGCTGGTTTGGATTTCCCCTTCAATGCATGTTATAGTTAGATCCAAGAAATTAATGCTAATATTACTTTGTTGTTCTAATTCCAAGGTTAAACCATATGGGTTACTGTTTATTATGTCTATAAAACATTTGGTGCTGTGATTATCCTTCCACAAAATAAATATGTCATCAACATATCTTGTGTATATCAGTATATCCTGTTGTAATGAAGGGAGGATATTGTTTTCTAGAATTATGGAGTATCAACTCGCAGAGTACTGACAACATGGGGTTACCCATTGGTACTCCCCATCCCAGTAGATAAGTTTTATTCTTGAACTCAAAGAAAGACGTGTGACAAATCAAGTCTGCTAACTCCAAAATCTGCATGTGGTATTTGAAAGCATTGTTAACATTAGTGAATAAAAAGTCTCTCGAGGCACAAAAGCATTTTTCTGGGACCAGGCCTCTATCATAAAGGCCATTAGATCTAAACATGCAGTAAAGTATCTGGAAAAACTGGAAATCCACAGGGCACAGAAGAGCACGCAATGCATTAACTATAGGGATGCTGACGGGCTTTCGTCCACTTAAAAATCCTTTTGTGACAAAGTAGCTTAGTTCTATATAAAGGCTTAATTAAGCTTAAGATGACTCTTGACAAATTATTTATTTATTTCTGCATTCCGCATTCGATTTTAGAGAAATAACTGAAGATGGATGCTTAATGCATTTGAAAACGTTCTTATGTTATTAAAGAATTATGCTGGACTTTTGAATGGTTTTTTATATTATTAATTTTAGTCTCCAGTAAGCAAGTATATATTTAATTAAATAAGCAAATTTTTTAAACTAATTTTAGGCTATTGATGAAATAGAACAAATTAAATGAATATCTGTTGCTGTAGCAACATAAAATTAATAGCTGTTATAGGAAATATAATACAATATGAGACTTATGTTGTTCATTTAATTTGTCTATTTCATTGAGACCCGAAAATAGGTGAATTACTGAAAAAATTGGCAATTTTTATTAATTTTGCTTCAGATTAAAGATTTGTGCGTATTTTAAAATTTTATGAAACGTGTAGTATAACAACAACGAAAAATTAGCTATTTTGTTAAAGAAGAAAAATTTATTTGAAATGTTTTGATAATTTTAATTAATAATGTCATATAAATTTAATAAAATGAAATGAGAAATTTATTTTTAAAGTTTATATTGTTAAGAATGAGTAAAAAAATTGAATATTAGTCATTTAGAAATGCTTGTACATATATTTAATAAAGTTTTGATATTTTTTTTCCTATATATTCTCTGTAATGATTACTTTATCATTGATAACAAATAATCTAATAATTAATTATCAGCAATTTATTATAAGATTTATAGACACATAATCATTAATGATTGATTCAGAATATTTAATAAAATTGAATCAAAAATTTAATAGTTTTACAAATGTTTATATTTATTTATATATTATTATATTATTTTAATATAATTTTTTATTTAATGTAGTTTGTGTGCCACCCTTAGTAATTGATAGTATTGCAACTTCCAAAAGATTAAGAAGATGCACTTATATTGATGGTAATTTAGAAATTCAGATAAAGGGTGAAAGTAAGTATGCATTGAAATATAAATATGATTTTAAGATTGCAAATGAAAACTAAATTATTAATAATTTCTATAATCTTATTAGTTCATTTTATAAAGTTTGTTTTTCCTCCTATGTAAATAAAACAGTTTTAAATAAAATGTTTTTCAAAATGGGTGATATCACCCCCTGGGGTCATTTGAATTATCCAAGAAGCAATATGTTGTTGGAGGCAAACAGACGAATATTCATTTCAGTTATTTAGATTCACTTTATGTTGGTAGGCTAAAAAAAAAAAGCCTTGGCGAGGGCCCCTGTGTATACAGAACAGGAGCTGTTACTATTTACAGTCACAACCAAGGAGTCAGTGATCCGAAAAAGTTTGAGAAGCACTGACTTAGATCATCTTATTCCAATAAAAATAACTTAGAGTTGAAAATAAGAAATTTCATCAAAAATTATTTTCATAGTCAGTCAGTTCTGTAGACATTATTTTAATCAATTTGGGACTGGACTACATTGACAAGAATGCAAAAATTTTTCTCTCACTGGAACTAGACAATATGTTAACATAAAAAACATACACCACAGTCTGAGATAAGTTCAGCAACACAACTTAAAAGTGCTACAGATGTTTTCATTCAATCCCTAAGACCTTCATCAGATAATTGTTCTAAAATGGAATGTTTGAAGAAGACAAAATTCAAATATGAAAACAAAAATAAAGAATGCATGCATGCTATTTGATTGGAATAATGTTTCATAATGTAGAATCTTAGATCACTTGTCAGGCCTGGGATACTTGCTTCTCGTCTTTATTTAAATTACAATTTCCCTTACCATTGGCCTTAAAATTCTCCAAGGCTTCAAGATCTCTAATCTCCTCTCCCTAAAGAGATGTTCTTAATAAAGACACTTGCTGTAATAACACTTCAATCTGTATACACCTCCTCTACGAACAACATGGAATTGTTATTACACAAATTGTCTTTATTAAGAACATCTCTTTGGGGAGAGGAGATTAGAGATCTTGAAGCTCTGTAGAATTTTAAGGCCAATGGTAAGGGAAATTGTAATTTAAATAAAGATGAGAAGAAAGTGTCCCAGACCTGGCAAGCGATCTACAATTCTATGCTATGAAATGTCTTCCAATCAAATAGCATGTGTGCATTCTATATTTTCATTTTTATATTTGAATTTTGTCACTTTCTTTTGAACATTCCAGTTTAGAATGACTTCTACTTGATGACAGTCTTAGGGATCACAATACAAAAACATATGAATATTTTTGGTTATGTTTTTTATGTTGATAAGAATAACTGACAGATAAATAATAAACATGACCAATAAATAATAAGCAGAGTAAATAAATATGACTACAATTAGAGGAAATTTTGGTTTTATTGACTCTGATATTAAAAGGACATGTTAAAATGATTAAAAATATATAACTTAAATTTATTAATTTTAATTATTACCATTAAAATATAATTCAACCAGTATTTCCTTCCTACTCTTTCTGCCCTGGGGAGCACTAAGAGGGTCTTTTATCAAGCCCATTGTGGGTTTGGCCCAGGTGGTGAGGGATGCTAATTTTGATAACATTAACCAACTGATAACATTTGTAATTACAGTAAGTAAATATATATTGGATAAGTATGCAAGCCATGTTAAGCCATATTGATTGACTGAAAATAATTTCTAGTACACTTCAGTTATACTTAATGGTATTAAAACATAAAAGAATCATCTACAATTAACATTTATTTTTATCTAGTAAAAAAATCAGGCTTATCATTACAAGTCAACAGAAACATATTAATTTAGTATTTTCAAGGTTTTATTAATTAAACACTTTTTATTTAACTTGCTTTGTATTATGCCCTCAACTCTTGAAGCTCAAATTTCAGCCAGCTTTAATTAAGATAGAAGACTGAAACTTTGAGGATGTACTATATCTAAGTGCAATGACAATGCATTTTAATGATGTTTTAGAGGAGTGGTTCCACCTTCATATCTTTCCCATTCCCTAACCCAATAAATATAACAAATGTGTAGAATTTAATGTTGTGTATGTGTAAATCTCAAAAAAAACATAACCATTGAAATAAAAGCATTTTTTTATTTAACTTTTTTCAATATATTAAATTATTTTTATCTTCAGAATTTGGCTAAATCTTTGATTCAAGTTTTGAAGTAACTTTATGAGAAATTAAATTTATTAATCATTTAGAACATTTATAACTTTTATATATAATTCTGAATGCCAGAAGGTTATAATCAAAAATTAGAGAAATTATATACAGAAATAATTCTATTTTATAGTTTACAGTTGTAACAATTCCATTAAATAGAAATATGACTTTTCTACTAAATTGAGTAATAATTATTATTATTATTATGTTGGGTTTTGTGAGTTATACTCGGTTCACACCGGTAGCTTTGTACTATGCCGGACCAAAGTCAAGGCATAGCAACCAAAACAAAACTAAAATTAAATAAGTGTGTCAGTGTGTGTGTCTGTATTCAGGAATTTCCTAACAATGTGGCATGTATTCAATATAGTGGCCTTCTGTAGTGTTATGTATGTATTTCTACTCAATTCTAATGTTCCCAGGCTTTTGTGTAGTGTGTGTGGTATCACACCTGTACAGGA